AAGTGCACTGTGGAGCAGAAAAGTGGTTCAAATTTCTTTAACAGTTGAGTCATTAATAAAAAATAAAAAAAACTAGAATAGGATCATCAAAATGACACTCTTACTGTCCAGACAAGCCCTTTTAAACTCTAAGAAGACAAATTATCAAATAAATATGCTATGTTGTTGTTGTTGTTAAGTACCGTCGAGTCGGTTACGACCCATAGAGACCCTGTACAGGGTTTCCGAGGGTGTAAATCTTTACAGGAGTAGAAAGCCTCATCTTTCTCCCGCGGAGCGCGCTGGTAGCTTCGAACCGCTGACCTTAAGGTTCGCAGCCCGATTCGTAACCACTACGCTACCAGAGCTTCTATATTCATACTCAAATTATTGTCTAACTGCTCTGCAGAGTACTTTAAATTCCAAGGAAGCTCCTTAAAAATAGGGAAAGCTAACCTACACCTATGGATGCAGTAGCTCAAAAGTAAGAACAAATCTTTACAGCGAGGATCATTCCCATCCCTTTGATACACAGGGTAGACAGTGATGGGCAACTTGGACACTGGCTACCCAAAATGGGGAGTGGGGGCTACAAAGGCAAGAAGTGACTGGCTTACAAGTTTTCAAGAGGGAGCCTAGATCCAGAGGGTACGGAGGAAGGTAAAATCTCCACAGAGTAGTATCCAATCTGTCTGGGCGAGGCTGATGAAAGGAGATGGGGATAGCACTCATGTGGCACAACAGTGAATAATTGTTATCAGGACCAACTGTGAGGGTTGGAAATGTAAAGGTAGACGTTTTGTAGCAAAAGGAGTACTGTGGTTGACTTTGCAGTCCAGGAGCGGAGATCCCTGGGACCATCAAGGGAGAAGAGCAGAGTGTGGGACCCTACCCAGAGAAACAATGGTGCCAGAGATGGAGGCAGAGACAATGACACGGAGAGATGGAGCGGCTGGGGACTCTAGACCCAGAGAGGGAGAGGGGCTGGGTGCTGATGACCAGGGGGCAGGCTTGTAGTGTATACCCTTTGGTTGGTTGATGATGCATGGAGGGGATTGTAACCATGGCAATTATGATATATGATAGGATGAATGTAAAGCTAATGTTCTCCCATGTAAACCATCACCTAATTCATAATAAAACATTAAAAAAAAAAATAGGGAAAGCTATTTTTTTTAGAGCCAAGTGCCTTAAAGCTGAGGTTTATACTGCGATGGAGCGCCCTTCAAGCATTTATCAGCAGTCCTAAAAGAGCTTTGTAACATTGCTTGAACAGGGCAGTGACCAAGGGGCCCATAGCTGAGAGGTTAAGGACCAGAGTGAGGTCCGAATATGGGCATAGCTGTGCCTGACCCAAGAAAAGTATCCTGAATATTTCTAATCCTGAATTGTAAGCTGTTAACTTAATAAACTCTCTAATAGTGAATATTATGTGTGAACTGAGTTCAGTGTGACCAGTGGATTGGATTCTAGAATCCAGCTGAGAACGAGCGAGCGCTGTGGGAAAATTGGCTTGTGTCAGAATTGGTAGAGCAGGTTGGCCGGCCAAGGCATGTCTGACCTCAAGCTCATAGGAATTGGTCTTGGACTGATTTTGAGTTTGATTCTCCTACTCCTTGTAAAGGAGCCTCGGCGACAAAGTGGGTTACACACTGGGTTCTAACCACAAGGTTAACAGTTCAAATCCACCAGTCACTCTGTGGTAGGAAGATGAGGCTTTCTGCTTCCATAAATACTTACAGCCTTGAAACTTTTACATTATCATTTGTAATTTAAAATCAGTTCTAAATGGTAGAAAAATTAGTTCTTAATTTATACCCACTGGACTGAGAACCACAAGATCGGCAGTTCGAGCACACCAGCCATTATCCATGAGAGAAAGATGAGGCTTTCTGCTCCCACAAAGATTTGATTTATAGCCTTGGAAACCCTATACAAGGTGGTCTTTATGAACATACGTATACTTATGAAAGAGAGAGAAAATTTAAATAGTACAGACTATTTTGCCCTTCATTCATTCCACTTACTGATCTGCACACGCTAGAGTAAACATGAGACAAGAAACATGAATCTGCTGGTTCCTTAATCGGCCTCAGTTACTCAGTACCTCTTTCAAAGTATCTTGCTGGGATGAGTGTCATTCTAATGTAAGGCCCAACTGCCCTATAGTAACTAATTTTTAAGAAAGGATCTGGCTGAAGTGGGAAAATGTTTAGCATCAACAACTCCCCTGAATGCAGAAACCTTCTTCCCCCTTAACTCTGGCTAAACTTCACTTCTGTAACAATGCTTATGCAAATTCCTCACATCAGAGTGGGCCCACCTGACTCACAGGATACTGTGGCCAGCGGCCAAGGCTAACCTTGAGAACAGCCAGCCAAAGTTAATCTTGAAAACTAACTGTCCCAGCAGATATAACCCTAGCCCCAAGTTAATCTTGAGAAGCAACTGTCCCAGCTGATGTACTCCTAGTCCCCACCCTAACAGCTCACGCTTACATCATACCCTTGATTTGTACAAGATAATGTGAGACTGGCTATGTATAAATACTCTTTGAAAAACTGGGTTGGGGCTGCAGTTTTACCGGCTTTTAGGGAGGCTATAGTGGCTAGCCAGCTAATAAAGGCTTCCTTAACGATCCTGAGACTCTTGAGCGGTCATCTGGGTAAACTGAGACACAACACTAACATACGTTTACAAGCCATTTTCTTATAGGAAACCTAATCATTATTTCTAGAACTCAGCTCAATGGCATGTTCCAATGTTGGAGGAAAATCCAGCATGTTCAGAGAAAGGTAGTATGTCAGTCTCTAATTCTTCCTTAAGTATGTTTCAAAGCATGTTTCAGGAGTAGTTTTGACTGTTAATGATTTCTGCATTGCATTCTAACTTCAGAACCTCATTTTACATAAGATATAACAGTAGTGTTAATTTCTACTGTACTCTGTTCATCTGAAGTTTGAAAAGCACTGGATTTTTGTCAGGAATTGTACATTTAGCCCTAGCTTTACTACTAACTAGCTGTTTGACCCTGGTAAGTATAATTTGTGGATCTCAATCCACTAACTATTTCACTACCTATATGTCATAAATACTTTTTCCATAGTTTATTAGCTGTAAGTCTGGCTAATACCAGTTACATAAAAAGCTGTTTATTACCTAATGATGATAATACAATAAATTGACTATGCAGTCTGGTAACTTCCCTCTATAAAAAGAGGGGGGAAAAAAAGAAGTTTTTTTACAGATACTGAATACAGAAGACTATACCAGCTGCTCCGCGGGAGAAAGATGAGGCGTTCTGCTCCCATAAAGATTTACAGCCTCGGAAACCCTGTACAGGGTTGCTATGGGTCGGAACCGACTCGACGGCACTAAACAACAACAACAGTAGAAGAACTGATGCATTTGAGTTAGGGTGTTGGAGAAGAATACTGAAAATACCACGGACTGCCAGAAGAACAAACAAATCTGAGCTGTAAAAAAGTACAGCCAGAATTCTACTTAGCAGGTAGGATAGCGAGACTTTTTCTCTCATACTTCAGACATATTATCAGAAGGGACAGTCCCTGGAGAAGGGTATTGTGCTTGATACAGTGGAGGGTCAGCTAAAAAGCGGAAGAACCCCAATGAGATGGATAGGCACAGTGTCAGCAGTGATGGACACCAGCATACCAAAAATCGTGGGGCTGCTGCAGACCGGGCCATGTTTCTGTTGTGCATAGGGTCACTATGAAGCCCGTTCAAAGGCACCTACCATCAACTGCAATTATGCAAATATTGAAAAGTTAATCGACAATAGATTCAATAAATTACAGGCCAATTCTGGCAGTAGTTTTGATTTTAATCAGTTATTTTTTAAATGTTTTCACCCTGTATGCTGCAAGGTTGTTGTTGTTATTAAGTGCTGTCAAGTTGGTTCCAACACTTAGTGACCCTAAATAGGGTTTCCAAGGAGCAGTTGTTCAGATGAAATACAGTATTATTATGTCAAAAAAAAAAAAGCAAGTAAAGGGCATTCTGATGCATTATGAAGCAATTCTGTCCATTTTCTTACGTCTAACATTTTATAAATGGAGTCCTGGTGTGATGCTGTAGGATAAGCATTGTACTAACCACAGGGTCAGCAGTTTAAATCTACCAGCTGCTCCTTGGAAGCCCTATGCAGGGTTGCTATAAGTCAGAACTAACTCGATGGCCCTTAGCAACAGTATATTTTACAGACTGAAAACCCCTGCCCTTATTCTAAGGCTTTACTGCAATGGTTTACAAATCTGGCTGCACATTAGAATTATTTGGAAACAAACAAACAAATTTTAATTCTAATGAGAAGGCTCCCAAAAACAATTAGATCACTATACTGGAAGTAAATGCCCAGATATTAGAACTTTGAAAATAAGTCTCCAGATGATTCTAATGTTGGCCAACTTGAGTGCCCAAATCTATGACATAAGGAGCAGAAATAGGGAGTGGGCTTTTTGTTTTTGTGGTTATGGAAGTGATTAATTGGCCTGCGTAAATAAGAACGCTTGAGTGTAATCTTCACCCAACAAATATGAAAATCCAAAATTTAAGGACTCTGGGTTAAAATATAAATGCAGATACATTTTTAAAAATAAAAACATATTTTAAAACTTCTAACAGTCTCCACTTTATATTAGAACTTATAGATCTATTTATATTTATACAATGAAATAGGTACATAAAAGCTTTCCTACTGAATTAAAATTGCTAACTTTTAAAAAGTTGTATGGTCTATAGATGCTTAATCTTTTTGTTCTTGAAAAGTTGATGGTACATGCATTTTTTAAAATTCCAAAATAGTAAGTACATCAAAATAGCATAAAATACACATTGAGATCAAAAGTTATTAATCCTAGTGCTTTTAATTATAAATTAATTGCTAACAAAAGCAGATAAGACAGCTTTATCTCCTTTAACTGTAGACATAACAACAGTAGAATCATCAGTAGATGAATGAAAACATACTGAGATTTAAGAAAAGACACCTTTAGAGTCACCTTGGAATGCTGAGTAGATAGTCTAAGGTGACACTCAGCTCATCCATATTTGTCTGCTCCAGGCATAATGGAATTGTTAGAATGAGGCCACTTCGTCTGTCCTTTCCTCCTATTAAAGAAGGAAATAGATAAATTTAAAATGGAATAGACATAAAAACATTTATGAGCAAAGTATATTTGTATCTAATGTCACTAAAACAATAACAAATTAAAACATCGGTGAAAAACAGTGGCTATTAACTGGCAAAAACCTTAGGGAGGCCGTGAGATTGTGTCAGTGAGAGAGGGAACAACTCAGAAAAAGAAGTGGGAATGGAGCTACAACGTGAAGAATGCAGTCAGTGCCACTAATTAGACATGTCTACAAACTGGTGCATGTTTCCGCAATGGAGCGCTTCAATGACAACAACAATATAATGAAATTTAAAGAAAAAAATGGCTATTTTACGTATTGTAAATGCTTGTGGTAGTATAACAAAGTTATGGAAAACTGAGAAAAAAATAAAAGGATAAAATGTACTCCTGAATTCTTCATTCAAGCATAGCAATTATAATTTTGTTTCATTTTTTTCCCATTACTCTGATGCTTTATGCAATCAATTCATCAAACACCTACTGTGTACCCAGGACAATAAGCACTTGTAAATAAAATTAAAGTAAAATAAAATATCTCTGCAGGCTTCAGGAATTTCCAATCATCTACTGTGGAAGAAAACCTAAAAGTTATACGAAATAATAAGTTTATTTGTTAACATATATATATTTTTTTAATTTAGAAAATAGAAAGAGCTCTGAAAAATATGGACGCTTCATAGATAAGATAAGCATTGTTGTTGTTGTTGTTAAGTACAGTCAAGTCAGTTCAGACCCATAACGACCCTGTATAGGGTTTCCAAGGAGAAGCTGGTGAGCTTGAACCACCGACTTTGCAGTTCAAATGGCTTTGCAGTCTGACACATTAACCCACTACAGTGCCACACCAGGACTCTAAGCCTTGAGTAAGCAGAATTTGTATCAAGTCAAAGGAGGCATTTTGTGATGAAGAGTTATCAGAATTCCACTCACAAAGATCAGATAAGCATTTTTTTTTTTTTTTTTCCTCAGAAGGCAATGGCTTTACCAAATTGAGAAGACTGTACAGTATTACATATTGAAGCCTCAAAGCCAAGTAATGGAACACTTACATTTCATATATGTCCAAGGCCCCTTCAATTTGCCATAAATGTTAAAAACTTAGCTAATATTTTTGTGCACAAATGGCTTCTCTGTAAGTTTCCTACATGCTTGACTTTTACACTGACATTCGTCTTCTGACCCAACTGACATTTACAACAATCTTAGAAGCTTAAAAAACAGTAAATACAGAAGGGAATGATTCTATAAGCTCTCCAGAAAGTGGAGAGGGGAAAAAAAGACTCATCAATGATGGTGGTGGTTATGTGCCATGGAGTCAATTCAGACTCATAGCAGCCCTGAACAGGGTTTCCGAGGCTATAAATCTTTACGGGAGCAGAAAGCCTCATCTTTCTCTCTCAGAACAGCTGACCTTGCGCTTCACAGCCTGATTCGTAACCACTATGCTACCAGAGCTCCTCTCAGTGACAGGAAGGCAATTTATGGTATGAACTTCGGCCTTCAATTAGGTTAAAGATACAAATTGTTAATAACCAGTTAAACATAAAAATGGCCATTTCATAAGGTTCGTCTTACAATCAGTTGTGAGTTCAAGTGAATATGGTTTCTGTTTAGAATACTGTTGTTAGGTGCTGTTAAGTGGGTTCTAACTCCTAGCAACCCTCAGCACAACAAAACGAAATTCTGCCCAGTTCTGCACCATCTTCACAACTGTTATGTGAGTCCACTGTGGCTGTCTCTGTCAATCCTTTTTTTCACTGACCTTCCACTTTCCCAAGCATGATGTCCTTCTCCAGAGACTGCTCCTTTATGACATGCGCAAAGTAAATGAGATGAAGTCAAGCCATCATCACATCTAAGGAACATTCTGGAGGTACTTCTTCCACGACAGATTTGTATTTCTGACAATATTTCAATATTGTACTTTCAATATTCTTTGCCAAAACCATAGTTCAAATGCATAGATTCTTCTATGAGCTTCCTTATTCATTGCCCAACTTTCACATGCATACAAGATGACTGGAAATACCACAGCTTTGGTTAACTGCACTTTAGTCCGTAAAGCAACATCTTTGCTCTTTAACACTTGACAGAGATCTTTTGAAGCAGACTTGCCTAAGCAATGTCTTGGATTTCTTGACTGCTGCTTCCAAGAGCAATGATTGTGAATCCAAGCAAAATGAAGTCTTTGACAGGTTCAATCTTTTCTCTGTTTATCATAATATTATGTATTGGTCCAGTTGTGAGGATTTTTGTTTTCTATATATTGAAGTGTACTCTATCCTGAAGGCTGCTGTTTGTGATCTTCATCACTAAGTATTTCAAGTCCTCTTTGCTTCTGGCAGTCAAGGTTGTATCATTTGCATATCGAAGGCTGTTAATGAATCTTCCTGGAATCTTGATGCCATGTTCTTCTTCATGTAACCCAGCTTCTCAGATTATTTGCTCAGCATACAGACTAAGTATGGTAAAAGTATACAGCCCTGGTGCACCTTTCCTGATTCAACCCATTCAACATCCCTTTGTTCTTTTCTAATGACTGTCTGTTGACCTACCAACAGGTTTTCATGAACACAATTAAATGTTCTGGAATAACCATTCTTTGCAATGTCATTCATAGCTTGTCATGATCCACAAAGTCTAAAGCCTTTGCATAGTCAATAAAACACAAGTACCTTGTGGTACTATTTGCTTTCAACCAAGATCCATCTGCTGGTCAGCAATGATATCCCCAGTTCCACATACTCTTCTCAATCTGGCTTGAATTTCTGGCAGCTCCTGCCAGTGTACTCTTGCAACCAACTTTGAATTATCTTCAGCAAAATTTTAATTACATGTGATACTGACATTATTTGATGTTTTCCGAATTTCACTGGGTCACCTTTTTTGCAAGGAACACAAATATAGATCTCTTCCACTTGGTTGGCCAGGTAGCTGTCTTCCAAATTTCTTGGCATAGATGAGTGAGCACCTCCAGCATTGCATCAGTTTGTTGAACTATTTCAATAGGTATTTCATCAGTTCCTAGAACCTTGTTTGTCATTAATGCCTCAGTGAAGCCTGAACCTCTTCCTTGGTGGTAGTGGTGGTTGTGTACCACTGAGTTGGTTCTAACTCATAGTGACCATGTAGAGAGTTTCCGAAGCAGTAAATCCTTACAGGAGCAGAAAGTCTCATCTTCCTCCCATGTAGCGACTGGGAGATTTGAAATACTGACCGTCTTCCTTAAGTATTATCTGTTCTTGATCATACGCTACCTCCTGATACGGTTGAACATATAGACTCTGTACCAAAATACTCTGAATATTCCTTCCATCTTCTTTTGATGCTTCCTGCATCATTCAATATTTTGCCACAGAGTCATTAAACATTACAAGTTGAGGCCTGAATTTTTTAATTTCAGCTTGAGAACTGCCGAGTCTGTTCTTCCCCACCTTTATTTTTCTAACTCTAGGTCTTTGCACATTTCATTATAATACATGACTTTGTCTTCTCTAACTGCCCTTTGAAATTTTCTGTTCAGCTTTTTACTTCATTTCTTCTGACATTCATTTTCGTCTTTCATTTTTTAGACCTTTTGCTTCCTTAATGGATGATGTTCTTGACATCACACCACGACTGCTCAGATCTTTAAAAAGTCATTGTTGTTGTTGTTGTTAAGTGCCATGGAGTCGGGTCCGACCCATAGCGACCCTGTACAGGGTTTCGAAGGTGTAAATCTTTACGGGAGTAGAAAGCCTCATCTTTCTCCCGCGGAGCGGCTGGTAGTTTCGAACCGCTGACCTTAAGGTTCGCAGCCCGATTCGTAACCACTACGCTACCAGAGCTCCTTTAGTCATTAGTATCATTTATTATTAGTCTAACACATAAAACTGTTCTGGAGATGGCCTCTAAATTCAGATGAGATATGCTCAAGGTCATATTTCGGCTCTTGTGAACTAGTTTTAATCTTTAATTAGTATCAGACTGAACTTGATTATGAACAATTGATGATCTGTTACACAATTGGGTCCCTAGCCTTATTTTGGCTGATGATACTGAGCCTCTCCACTGTCTCTTCCCACAGATGTAGCCAGTTTGATTCCTGAGTATTTCATCTGGTGAGGTCCAAGTATATACTATTTATGTTGTTGAAAAAAGCTATTTACAATGAATTAGTCATTGGTCTTGCAATATTCTACCATGCAATCTCCAGTATCGTTTCTATCACCAAGGCCACAATTCCCAACTACTGATCCTTCTTCCTTTTTTGTTTTCAACCTTCATATTCCAATCAACAGTAATTATCAATGCATCTTGATTGCATGTTTAATCAATTTCAATTGGTAGAATTCTTCAATATCATCATCCCTGGCTTTAGTGGTTGGTAGGTAAATTTGAATAATAATGGTATTAACTTGTCTTCCTCATTGTTGTTGTTGTTAAGTGCCATCAAGTCAGTTCCGACCCATAACAACCCTGTATAGGGTTTCCGAGGAGCAGCTGGTGAGTTTGAACCGCTGACCTTGGAGTTCAAATGGCTCTGCAGTCTGGCACATTAACCCACAGTGCCACACCAGGACTCCAGGTCTTCCCTGTAGACATATGGATATTATCCTATCAGAGACAGCATTGCACTTTAAGATCGGTCTTGAAATGCTCTTTGAAGGTGAATGCAAAAAGGCATTCCTTTTCCATCTGAGGTTCCCAGTACAATAAACCATGTTGTTGTTGTTAAGTGCCATCAAATTAATTACAACTCATAGCAACCTGTATAGGGTTTCCAAGGAGTAGCTCGTGGGTTTGAACTACTGACCATATGAGTGTTCAATTCAAAATGGCCAGTACCACTCCATTTCAGTTCATTAATGCCTAGGGTATGGATCTTTATGCATTTGACTTCATTTTTTATGGCCCCTAATTTTCCTAGATTCACATTTCGTTGTTTCCACATTCCAATTACTAATGGATGCTTGTAGCTATTTCTTCTCATTTTATAGTTGTGTCCATCAGCAAATGAAGGTTCCAAAAGTTTGCTCCATCCACATCATTAAGATCAACTCTACTCTGAGGAAGCAGCTTTTCCCCAGCCATATTTTGAGTGCCTTCCAACTTCTGGAACTATGTCAGTGTTTTACTGCTATTCAAAAGATGGCTAACCATTCAGAAGTGATCTACCGCTCCTTCTTCCTGGTCTGTCAGAAGTTTCTCTGAAACCTGTTCACCATGGTATTTAAAATAATTTTAAATACTGTTGATATCACTGCCAGCATCACAGTAGTACACAAGTCACCACAGTAAGGCAAACTGACAGACAAATGGATGGTTTGTAATATAGGTTTTATTTCTTTTTCAAGGATTACACAAATGTTTTTCAAACTGTATCTCCCTGAATACTTTGGTTGATATCAAAAAAATCTTCCTACTAATAAAATTGACAATGATTGGCTTTAATAATCAATGATCGAGAAAAGAAATCAAGAGGGCTAAGTTAAGAGATACCTCATTTACTCTTCAATCCAAATCCATAGAATGATTCATACCTGGACTATATAACAGAATGAACTCCCTCTTCTAAAGACAATCTACTCATCTTCTGTAGAAGAGGAGTTTAAGTTTCGGGACCACATTTATACTCATGCCCTCAGCTTTCCCTAAATCCACTACCATAGAGTCAATTCTGATGCTCAGCTACCCTGTAAGTCTGAGTAGAACTGTCCCATAGAGTTTCTGAAGCTGTAAATCTTTATGGAATCAGAGTGCCTCATCTTTCTCTCACCAAGCAGCTGGTTAGATCAAACTAGTGACCTTTTGGTTAGCAGCTCATCACACTAAGTTTCAGTCACTTAATTACCAGTGCAAAAGTGAAAGGGGTGAAAGTCAAAACAAATTAAGACTTTCAAGACAGATATGGTCAACAAAGGCAAATGCTGAACAGATAACGTGCCATATGACTCAAAAATAGCACTGATAAAATGATAAAATATTGGCAATAGTAGGAGAAAACAGGCATTTTCATACACTGTTGGGATTAACATAAATGGATAAAATCTTCTTAGAGCACAATGTGACAACAAATTTTAATGAGTATTCTCTTTAACATTTCCACTTATAGGAATTTGTACTGCTAAACCTGTACACAAGGCACAAGGCTATGGATAAGAATGTTTTTACATATTAGAAAAGAATGAAGAAAACCTTAAGTGTCTACTGATAAGAGAAGTTTAAAAAAAAAAGGAAAAACTTAAAATTATTAAATAAAGAAAATAATATCAATAATAATGCTAGCATAATTTAATTTATTTTATCCTTTATAACTTATACCTAACTAAAAATGCATGCCGATTTACAGATACAAATACTTTTCAATAGCAAAATTCTGGCAAGACCCTAAGAAAGGAAAGGGAAAAAAAAAAGATAAGGTAATCTGAACACCCCTAATACCCTCCCTATGCAGATGGAGCCATAATATCTATCCTCAAACATGTACAGATTTACTCAGTGATCCAGAATACAGAAAAGCCTACACCCACTATAAATCAACACACTAGCAAATTACATTACAGATTCTGGGTTTTTTTTATTATTATTATTGTGAATTGGGCGAAGTTTTACAAAACAGATCATCAGTCTTACACTCAACAAGTCATATACATTTGTTTCATCTTATTATTAGCTGATACAGACTTTGGATTAATAATTGAAGGTAAATTCAGGCCTGTGCAATCAATTTGAAACAGTCAAAGTGAAAGCCATAGACATTTCATAATTGCTCTAGCATACTGGAACTTTCTCATAGGGAAATGACAGGAAAAACTAGGTGACAGGATATCATAAAACCTAACTACAAGCATTTAGATGTCAACAATTATTCTTGTATTAATTACTGCACTGCTTTTTATAAGAAGTGATATATTATGACAGTTACCTTGTGCTGCCATGTTAATCAAATTATAAGACATAATAAAAATTGCCCACCATAGGCCAACAGTCATAGCTAGTTTGCACAGTTATCCATTTTCATTAAAAGATGTCTCTAAAATATGCATACCTTTTAAACAAAACCTTCATAGAGCAGAAAAATGCATTTCTGTCCAACTTATCAAAGAAAAAATTTTCAACAAGATTATATATATATTGTTGTTGTTGTTAAGTGCTCTCAAGTGGGTTCCAACTCCTAGTGACATGTACATATACATAGATATCAAGAACTTTCCATTTTAAGGGGAAAAAAAACATACCTGAAAGAAAGGCGAGTTTCTTCTTCAGAATGGGTAATATTACTGAGGCCTCCATTTTACTCTAGTAAGCTTCCTCACTTCTGAAAACACAGAAAATTAAATGTAGTCTACAAAATACACACTTAAACCAATATTTCTCATCCGTAGCACTCTTGACATTCTGAGCCAGATAACTGATTTTTGCAATAAGTTGTATTGTGCACCGTAGGATGATGATGTGCACTGGCTTCTACCCACAACACAAGATGCCGGCATTCCCCACCGCTGCCAGCCCACCCCACCCCAGTGTGACAATCAAAATGTCTCCAGATGTCTTGTGGTTGGCAAACTGCTCCCAATTAAGAACCACTCGTGGTAGTGGTGGTTGTGAATAGGGTTTCCGAAGCTGTAAATCAGAAAGCCTTTCAGTTGGTGGATTCAATCGGCTGGCCCTGCAATTAGCAGCTCGATACATAACCCACTTATTACTATGATTTGTCAGAGCAATATTCCTAGACTAGACCAGTACCCGATACATAAGCAGTAACTTCATCTATTATGTATGGCATTGAGGAATGCATGGAAATCAGTCTTTCTATCACTGTATCTGGTCCTTCCTTAAATAGTGTTCTCTGATTTCTCACATTTTTGCTCCACCATGACATGTACCCTCATGGCTACCTTACATATTGTTTCCACTTTGGCTCCTACTATTAAAATGGTCTGTCTCTCCACATTTTACAGTTTTAAATGCTTTAGAGAAAAATTTGATTATCCCAGTTCCTCTTTTAACACAAGCCATTAATTCACTATTCTTAGTTCAGTTTTCCAGAGTCCATTCAAGCCACATATAAGGGTAATAGCTTAATGCAGAAAACAAACCATTTATAGGGCAAGTGCAAGATCAGTGGTTCATATCCACCAGACTGCTCTTCCTAAACTCTAAACAACAAGGTCCAAGAAGTTTCCCTTAAAAGGAGATTTTAACAAAAGAAGCAACTGCAAAAACTGGATAGCCCAGTATACTACCAAAACAAGATTTAAAGAAAAACAGGACCTTTAAAACAAAGCAAAGATTAAATTATATTATCCTCTTCCATTTAACTTCCTATTGATAGCCTGATGTGGTTCTTTAGGACAAGCACTGAACTGCTAACCACAATTTCAGCAGTTCAAACCTACTAGCTGCTCCTAAGAAACCCTCCACAGGGTCTGCATAAATTGGAAATGACTGAATGACACTAACAATAACTTCAGGAGTGCGGTAGATCTGTAGGATAAACACTGGACTGTGAAAAAACAAGACCGGCAGTTAGAGTCCACTAGTCACACTGTGGGAAAGATGAGGCTTTCTGCTTCCTTAAAGACTTAAAAAGCCTCAGAAACCCTATACAGGATTTGCTATGAGTCGAAACTAACTCAATGACACTTAACAACAAATACTTAACTTCACGTCTGAAAGAGTACTGTCCATAGCACTTTATCCCCTCCTTCCCTCTCCCATCTCCCAGACATACATCATCACAACAGTGACAGTTTCTTGAAAGCATCAAGAAACTGTATTTAGTACCAGCATACTCTTCTGAAAACAATTTTCTAGCAAAGCAGAAAATGACTCTATATGAATTGCTATTATTATGCAAGCATGTATTATGAACCTATCCAATTTCAGGGATTGTGCAACCAAGCTAGAGATAAAAACTCAAGTCACAAACCTATACTGGGTGGGGGGGGGGGAGTCTTTTAAAAAACTCAGATTTTTAAGAAAATAAATACAGTTTTAATAAGTGTCAGATAATGGCTAATTGTTGTTTTTAAGTGCTGTCAAGTTGGGTCTGACTCATAGCGACCCTGTATAGGATTCTGAGGAGCAGATGGTAGGTTTGAACTGCCAACTTTGTGGTTCACAGTCCAGTGTCAATCCTACAGCTCCATTAAAGCAAGACTACTTGGTATTGTGGGTTAACGCACCAGACTGCAAAGCCCTTTCAACTGCAAGATCAGCTGCTCCTCGGAAACTCTATACAGGGGGTCGTTATGGGTCAAAATCGACTTGAAGGCACTCAACAACAACAACAATTAAACAAGTATATTATTTTATAGCTTTGTGTACTAAAAAAAAAAACTACTAATGCTATTTTCATTATCTACAAAGAAAACAAGCTGTCAAACAATATGATCTATTCTTTTCCATTTTTATGCATTGAATATTTATTTGCATTTTGCTCAGTCACTTTTGTTCTCTGTTAGCCAAGACTAAGGACTTAAGTCAGCAGTTAAAACCCATCAGCCACTCTACAGGAGAATGAAGCTGTCTGCTCCCATAAAAATCTATAGTCTCAGAAACCCTACATACAGCTATATGCATCAGAATCAACTCGATGGGTCTATTTTGTTTTGCTTTGGTGGGGGGAAGGGGTGTGTTGACACAGGCTAACAGACAAATATAGTAAGAATCAGGAAGAAAAAGCTCATTTTACATCTTTAATCTAAAGCACATTGTTTCATGTTTCCAGATCAATGCTTTAGCAAGACAATTGATTATATAGACAAGTTATCATACAATTCAGACAGAAGCATATATTGGGTTTCTTCTCCTCTGTCTAGCTTGCCAGAAACCTGATTAGAAAGCTTTATAATGATGGTAATAATAATGATCAACATAATTAAGATTTACTAAGCGTTCAGTAAAAGCAGTGTGCTGTCTTAAATGGCTTATTTGTATTAACTTATTTAATCCCCACAACACTTCTGTGAGGTAAGTACTATTATTACCCCACTTTACAAGAGTTCATTGGCTCTGAGAGGTTAAAACTTGCTCAGTATTACGCACATCACCCATGAATGCCAAAGTGAGGAAACAAGATTTTTACCAACTCGTGTAGTCTGAACTTGATCAAACATACAATCAAGACGTACTGATGACTACTGTTAACTGGAACACAAAAGGTGAAAGCAAAAAAGAATTAGAAAATGTGGTTTTGGTAATAGAAATGATGCTGGGGAATGCATGCTGGGAACAACAATTTATTCATTGAAAATACCTTTTTTCAACAACCTAAGTCATGACTATATACATGGTCCTCGCTAGACAGAGCATATAGGAATCAAATCAACTACATCTATGGAAAGAGGCGAGAGAGAAATTCAATATCATCAGTCAGAACACGAAGAGGACCGACTGGGAAACCAAATTATCAATTGCTTGTATGCAAGTTTAACTTAAAGCTGAAAAAATTAAAACAAGTCCATGAGAGCCAAAATACACCCACATGGACCTAGAGTAGACACCACCTCAATAACAGATCTGACACAATGAACACTAATGACTGAAGACCAGACAGAATATAAAGAGCATCATATGTGAAGAAAACAAAAGGTTATTAAGAAAGAAAAACAAAAGCAAAATGGCTATCAGAAACGACTGAAACGTACTCTTGATGGTACTCTTGATGGCACAGTCGCTAAGGTGAAGAGAATAAATTATGAAGAAAAAGAACTAAACAAAAGATTTCAATGAGCAGCTCTAGAATACAAAGTATTTTAATGAAACATACAAAGACCTCCTGGTGTGGCACTAGCAGATAAGCAATGGACTGAAGGTTCAAACCCACCAGCTAGCTGCTCCTTGGAAACCCTATACAAGGTCGCTATTAGTATGCTCCAACTTGATGGCAATTAGCAACAACATACAGAAATCTGGAGTTACAGCACCAAAAGGGAAGCCAACGCTCAAGAAGAGAGAACTGAAGAAAAAAATTAAAGAGCCACATTTCAGTACTGAGGGATTCCATGAATAAAATGGAGTCCTGGTATGGTGCTGTGAGCTAATGTGCTAGACTGCAAAGTCGTTTGAACTGCAAGGTTGATAGTTCAAACTCATCGGCTGCTCTTTGGAAATTCTATACAGGGTCACTATGGGTCAGAACCGACCTGACCGTACCTAACAACATGGCAGGAAGCATCAAAAGAAGATGGAATGAATACAGAGTCGCTCTACCAATAAGAACTGGTTGACATTCAACCTTTTCAGATAGTAGCATATGATTAAGGACAAACGGTATTAAAGAAGTCATCCAAGCTGCATTTGAAGGCATCGAAAAAAACAAGTCTTCAGAAATCAACGAACACCAATCAAAATGTTTCAACAAAGGGATGCACTGATGTAGATGCTCGCCTGTCTATACCAAGAAATTTGAAGGTCAGTTACCTGGCCTACTGATTGGAAGAGATCCATATTCATGCCCTTTCCAAAGAAAGGTGATGCAATAAAAAATTATCAAACAATATCATTACTATCACACATAAGTAAAACTTTGTTGAAGATAACTCAAAATCAGTGGCAGAAATACATCTACAGGGAACTACCAGAAATTTAAGTTGGATTCAGAAGAGAACATGAAAGGAGGTATATCACTGTTGGTGTCAGATGAATCCTGGCTGAAAGTAGAGACTAGCAATAAGTTGTTTACCTTGTGTTTCATTGACTGTGCAAAGGCATTTGACTGTGTGGATAATATTGTAAAAGAATGGGAATTCCAGAACACAGAGTTGTGCTCATGAGTAACCTGTACATTGACCAAGGCTATCATTCAAACAGAACAAGGAGATACTGCCTGGTTTAAACTAAAAAAAAAAAGGTGTGCATCAAGATTATATCTTATATCCTTTCACCATACTTATTCAATCTGTATGCTGAGCCAAATAATCCAAGTAACTGGCCTATATGAAGAAGCTCTGGACATCAGGATTGGAGAAAAGCTCATTGACACCTGTGGTATGCAGATGACACAATCTTACTTGCTGAAAGCAAAGAGAAAGTGAAGCTCTTACTGATGGAGAACAAACATTATAGCTTTCATTATTTATTAAACCTCACCATAAACAAAGCAAAAATTCTCACAACTGAACCAATAAGCAACATCATGATACACAGAGAAAAGACTGAAGCTATCAAGGATTTCATTTTACTTGGATCAACAATCAAACGACATATTGCATTTGGCAAATATGGTGCAAAAGACCTCTTCAAAGACGTCAGTTTTGAGGACTAAGGTGCACCTGACCCCAGCCATG